TACCATTAAATAATATCTATACAAAGAAATACACTGAAGAACACTACAGATAAAGCAAACTGGAATTCTAAAAAATGTTTAAGTGTACCCTTAAGAAGGAATAAAGAAGAAAACAGGAAAACACAGAAAATAAAATGGCATCTCAAACTGAACATAAACCGTCAAAATGTATCAATCACAAGACAACGGTGGTGGGTAAAAAAATGAACCAACCATAAGACAACTACCAGAAACTCACTTGAAATATAAGTGACTTGAGAGTGAAAGGATGGAAAACTATATACCATGCAAACATTAATTGAAGGAAAGCAGAGATGGCTATATTAGTGTCAGATAAAGTAGATTTCAGAGCAGAAAAACTACCAGAGACAGATAGGTGAACTACGTAATGGTAAAGGTGCCGATCCATCCATCAAGAACACCCAGGAATCCCAAATGTGTATGCACCAAACAACAGACCTACAAAATATATGAAGCAAAAATGGATGAAATTCTAAAGAAAGGTAATCTCAGCACTTTGGAAGGCCAATAGAAGGGAATCACTGAGACCAGGAGTTCAAGACCAGCCTGGACAACACAGTGGAACCCCACCCACCTCTACAAAAAACAATTTAAAAATTAGTTGGGCATGTTGGGATGCACCTACAATCCCAGCTATTGTGGAGGTTGAAGCAGGAGGATGGCTTGAGCCCAGAAGGTCGAGGCCGTAGTGAGCCATGATTATGCCACTATACTCCAGCCTGGGTAACAGACTGAGACCATATTTCAAAAAGAACAAAAACTCTAAAGAGAATAAACAAAGCCACAAGGGAAGATAAACTCAACAGGAACATTAACTAAAAGGTAAATCAACATTTCAGAACAGTCCACCGAACAACAGCAAAATAAATGTTCTTTTCAAGAGCCAGAGAATACTTACCAGCATACAGATAGTGTCACAATATCTTACTATAAGCCTTGTCAAAGCACTTAACTTTTTAAACTATGTGTATGTTACCACAATAAAATAAAACCCAAAATAATGTAGAAGCACAACTCCTGGTCCAGACAAAATGGCACGGATCCATTTCTCTGCTCCTCCCCAGTAAGTCCAACTATAAAACCTGGTAATTAGGCAAGAGCCAATCAAAGGAGAGTTCTGAAAGAAGGTAAGAAGGCAGCATTGACTTCCCGAGACTCTCCTCTCCAACCAGGGATACTGGGGCAACGGGACAGTAGCAGTAAGGGGAACCTGCCACTACAAGCTGCTGGCACATGAAGAGCCTGTGCCCCTCATGCCCGAGCCTCCTCTCTCTCAGTATAGAAAGCCAGGCAGCAGCGACAAGTGCAAGCCCGGCACAAAGGGCCAGTCCAGAAAGCCAGGCAGCACCGACAAGTGCAAGCCCAGCACAAAGGGGCCAGTCCAGAAAGCCAGGCAGCACCGACAAGTGCAAGCCCGGCACAAAGGGGCCAGTCCAGAAAGCCTCCTCTTATCCAAGACCTAAGACCCCCTTCCTTGCTCCAAGACACCAGAGCATCAAGGTGGCACCAGCAAGAGGGAAGCCTTTCATTACAAGGGTGCTAAGTCTCCTCTTCTCCCACCCAGAAACACTGCAGCCACTGGGTCCATATGAATGGGATACAGCCGCAGCCAGTGCCCAGCCAAAGAAGCCTCTTCTGTCCCATGAGCCTGACACTTCCATCTCTAAACAAGAGACACCAGGCCTAGGAAAATCTCCCTTTCCCCCTCACACAGCACCAACAGAGACCAGGAAGACCCCCAAAGGTACCATATAAACCAAGCAGACCAAAGATCACAGCACCATGGCTCTAAGAATTAAAATGTCATTGGAACCACAGCCCACTAATGTGGTCCAGGACCTATGTGCTGAATCTAAACAGGGTGGCTATGCACTACAATAAAAGATATAAATAGAACCCAAATTCTCCTAATGTACAAAATACCCAAGAGACAATCGAAAAACATCTGTCAAACCAAGAGCCAGAATATTCACAACCTGAATTAGAAAAGGCAATCACCCAGCACTTTGGGAGGCCGAGGCGGGTGGATCACGAGGTCAAGAGATCGAGACCATCCTGGTCAACATGGTGAAACCCCGTCTCTACTAAAAATACAAAAAACTAACTGGGCATGGTGGCGCGTGCCTGTAATCCCGCTCAGGAGGCTGAGGCAGGAGAATTGCCTGAACCCAGGAGGCGGAGGTTGCGGTGAGCCGAGATCGCGCCATTGCACTCCAGCCTGGGTAACGAGAGTGAAACTCTGTCTCAAAAAAAAGAAAAAGAAAAGGCAATCACACACCACCACAACTAAGCTAACTCAAGATACTGGCATTAATTATATGACCAGCATTTTAAAGCAGCAGACATAAAAATGCTTCCACAATCAAATACAAACTATCCTGAAACAAACAGAAATTATAAAACCGAGAAATAGAGTAACAGAAATAAACCTCACTGGATGAGATTAAGAATAGAGTGGAGATGACAGTAAAGCATTAGGGAACTTGAGAACAGATGAATAGAATTTACACAACCTGAACAACACAGAGAAAAGAAACAGGGAATTACGTAACACCAACGTAAAATCCAACTTTCTTAACACTGGAAATCCAAATGGAGAGAAGACAGTAGGAACAACTCTCTCCCCATTATTTCTTCAACAACAAAGAGTAGTTGAAGAAATCATGGCTAAAAACTCCCTCAATTTAGTCAAAACCAAAAAAAAAAAAAAAAAAAGACAGCAAACATGAAATCCATGACAAGACACAACGTAATTAAATCTCTGAAAACTAAAGACAAAGTAAAAATTTGAAAACAGCCAAACAAAAATGACACATTATATACAGGAGAACATCAATCTGAGTGACAGTGGCATCCTAATCAGAAACCATGGATGCAAGGAAGCCGCACAAGATTTTTCAAGTGCCAAGAAAACGGTGGGCTAGCAGCCATGGCACACGCCTTAATCCTAACACTCTGGGAAGATGACGCAGGAGAATCACTTGACACCAGTTGGGCAACATAGCAAGATGCTGTCTCTTTAAAAAATTTTAAAAATTAGCCAGGCATGGTGGTACCTGCCTGTAGTCCCAGCTACATGGGAGGATTGCCTGGGCCCAACAGGTCAAAGGTGTAATGAGCTATGATTGCATCACCAAACTCCAGAGCGAGACCCTGTCTCAAAAAAAAAAAAAAATGAAGAATAGAAAAAGGAGAAATATGGGTACATGGTTTGTGCAATACACTATCCTTACCATCATGAGTTTTATAAACCATATTTGGTGAATGACACAAAAACTGTAAGACTATCTGATACCCAGGACATGTTACTAAAGTGAGGATCTAAGTAAAAGAATGGTTTCTGCACTTCACTGGCAGTGGTGAAATACTGACGGCAATACACCACGGTGATAACTCACATATGTGTATTGTAATACCCAGAGCAAACACTGTGAAAACTATACAAAGACCTAATCTCAAACACAGTATACAGATAGCAAAAAAGTGTCCAAGTAATCCAAAAAAATGGCAAGAAAAAAGAAACAGAGGAATGAGAATCAGAAGAAACACAACACAGATAATAAACGGCATATTTATATTCTAACATATCCACAATTATCACAAATGTAAATGGTGTAAATGTGCCATTTAAAAGAGAATGGCATAGTCAATAAAAAATATGATTATATGATCCAACAAGAAACTCACTTCAACATAAGTTGAAAGCTATACCATGCAAACATTAATCCAAAAAAGCATAAACGGCGACATCAATATCTAATAAAGAAAATTTTAGAGCAAAGAAAATTACCAGAGACAGAGGAACATTAACAACGAAAGGAACAATCCACCAAGAAGACATAAAGATCTTGAATGTTTGTGCATCACATGACAGTGCTTGAAAGTGCATGAGGCTAAAACTCACGGATTCAATCTGCGATGAAAACCTATTTCGAAACCGGTGGCACATTTCCAAATAATGAACTCCTAAAATTAAACAGATTTACTAATACAATTACTGCTATAGGTAACACCAAGGAGGAAAAGAGAAATGGTAGCTCCAGAGAACCCACTTTCAACCAAGCACTGAATAAGGGCATCTTACGCATTTTCTACTGTAATCGCCAATAGTCCCGTAAAAAAATTTTATCCAGCATTTTACAGATGAGAAACCATGGCTTTGAGTTTTAAAAAGCTACCCAAGAGCAAACAAGAGCGTTATAACATTCCAACAACTACTTTGGACTGTAGGTTACAGTCTCTCAAATAGCCGAAACCAAAGGTTATTCAAAAACTCAAATTCTGAAGCAAGCACATATCGGATGAAATTATATTTTCTACAATTCCTCTAGAATGAAACTTCAAAAACTGTAAGAAGCAATATTCTCCTCTCTAAAATGTCTTTTAAAAAACAGTCTTCTTTGAATGAGAAGTTGAATATGAGCTAAATCCAACCTCGGGCATAAAAGGTCTGTGCACGAACTCTACCGCTCACCGTGGCCTCCTTCTCAAGCCCCGTTTCCCCTTTTAGGAAAGCAGAAGAACTTGTCCACAAAAAGCACTTTGGTGTATAGATGTCCAAGTAAAAAGTGCGCTTAGTCAAGACACGGAAATGAACAGAAATTTCAGTAAGGAGCGTGTTTTTAACAACGTGATCGAGAGTTGCATCTGCCGCCTTCCCGGTTCACACGGCCGCACAAGTTTCGGAGACCGAATTATCCGAGTTTAGGACTTTCGATCGCGGCTGACTTTCGGAGCGCGGCCGCTCCTCCACACCCGCCGCGGCGCTTCCTCCCGCTCTGCCTCCCGCGCTCCGCCAGGCGTCCCGGGGCGCAGGCGCCCGCCCCGGCCCCGGCCCCGGACCCGCCCCAGCTCCCGGCCCCAGACCCGCCCGGCTCCCGGCTCCCGGCCCCGGCTCCCCGCCCCAGCTCCCGGCCCCAGACCCGCCCGGCTCCCGGCTCCCAGGGTGGGCGCTCAGGCGCCGCGCCCGCCTCGGTTACCTGCCGCGCCAGTCGGCTCCCGACCCGGGCCCCGCAGCGCTGTAGTAGGCCGCGCGTTTGCGGTTGGCTGCGACCGCCGCGACGCCGCGCACCGGGTACAGCGGAATCTGGTCGGCCATGTTCGGGCCGCCCCTCTCCCGCCCCTCCCGCTCTCCCCTCAATTCGCCGCCTTTTCCCCGCCCTCTCCACTCAGCGCCAACCCCAGCGGAGGCACCGCCCGCGCCCCTTCCCCGCCCCCGCTGAGCGGCGAAGTCCGATGGCGTCACGAGCGGCGACGACGCGGCGCGGAGGCGTGGCGTCCCTAGGCCCCGCCCTCCCCTGGGCGTCGGCGCACGACGACGGTCCCGGGCGGCAAAAGCGCGGCGGGGGAGGCGGTGCAGTCCGGACGATGACGTCAAGGGCCGCTACAGCTGGGGACGGGGGGCGTCGCGTTCCGAGGCCCCGCCCCCGCCTCGCGGCGGGCCCAAGACGTCACCGAGCGGCGGGGCGGGACGCGCATGCGTCGCGGACTGGCCTTCCGGGTGCGCGCGTGGCCCCGCACGTGGGTGCCGGCCGGTTCTGGTCTGCGGGTGCGTCCCGCTCGGAAGGGCCTCGCCGCGGTCTCCTGGGAGCTGGGCCGGGGACACGCGTGGGCGCGCGCGGCCTTTCGGGCGGTCCTGAGCCTGCGCCGCCGGGAGCTGCACGCGCGGCCCACGCGCCCTCCGGCGCCTGTGCGGTCACAGGCGGGGTCGCGCTCCCTGGCCGGGCCCCCAACGCGCCGCGACCCCAGTTGCGCCCACCGCACCGTGCTCAGTTTCCCAGGTGTTCGACTCCTGCTTCCTCACTGCCGCCGTCCGCTTCCTCTGCTTCTCGGTGTTCAGCCTGAGTCCACGCCCCCCACCTCCAGGCCCACGGCCCGCTGAAACGCCCTGCCGGCGACCGTCAGACACGAGGCGTTACACCCTCAGTCTGCACAGGGAAGCAGGACGGTGCCGAGCAGACGCACGTACAGCCTTGGCTGGGTTTGCTTCGTGTCCTGGCCCGAGCAGGACGGCCGCTCCCGCCTCCGTCACGCCCTGCACCTGGACCCTGCAAGCTGGCGCTCCTCCCGTATTTCTGGTTTTTTCACGTTGTGTTTTTTAACCTGTGATTCTGATATTCCATGGCCATGACTTACGGATTTTGTCTACGTGTTTGAAACACTGTTCAACATTAACTTATAAATGCTTTTTTCTTTTGTTCTTTCTTTTTTTTTTTTTTTGCTGTGTTTTTGAGATGGGGTCGCATTCTGTCACCCAGGCTGGAATGCTGTGTTTTGATCACGACTCGCTACAGCCTCATCCTCCCAAGGTTCAAGTGACCCTCCCCCCTCTGCATGTATTATTTTTTCATTATTAAAAAACTCTCCTTTGTGAATATGAATATTCTTAATTTGTTGCTGCCACTTTCTGATTGCCAGTTTGCTTCTCAGCTGCTTCTCATAGGGCTTGGATATACACCACTCCATAGACACTACTCTCAGAAGACACCAACGGCCTGATTGACTTTACCTGTTATTTCTCTACCTCGCTTTCACTCAACAACTGACACTGTTCACACCATCTCTCGCCCACATTGAACAACGGATATTGATGATGATCTCATTCTCATAGCACTGGCACTGTGACACCATCTTCTCCTGACCCTCACTCAGCACCTGACAATGTCAACACCTTCTCCCCTTCAGCAACAGATGCTGACACCACCATCTCCTGACCCTCACTCAGCACCTGACAGTGACAATATCATCTCACACTCAACAACTCATGGTGACAATGCCATCTCCTCACACTCAACACCTGACGGTGACACCACCTTCTCCTGACCCTCACTCAGCACCTAATGCTGACACCATCTTCTGACCCTCACTCAACAGCTGACAGTGACAATACCATCTCCTCACACTCAACAACTAATGGTGATACCACCTTCTCCTGACCCTCACTCAGCACCTGACAGAGACAACAGCGTATCCTCACCCTCACTAATCACTGACACTGTGTATGCCCTTTCCTCACCCACAGTTAATAATTCACACTGATAACACCATCTCCTCACCTTCACTCAGTCTAATGGACTCAGTTCCACATGGCTGGGGAGACCTCACAATCATGGCAGAGGCAGAAGGCACATCTTCCATGGAAGCAGGCAAGAGAGAGAATGAGAACCAAGCAAAAGGGGTTTCTCCTTATAAAACCATGAGATCTCGTGAGACTTCTTCACTACCACGAGAACAGCATGGGGAAACCACCTCCTTGATTTAATTACCTCCGCCAGCTCAGTCCCGCAACACATGTGAGTTAAGGGAGCTGCAGTTCAGGGTGGGAACACAGCCAAACCATGACACCCAACAACAGGCAATTTTCACACCAGCTCATTGTCACGTTTTCCTCTCTTGGCATTCAGACGGAATCACCTAGCTCTCTTCCTTCACCTTTCTCTTGGAAACTCCTCTTTCATCACCTACCCACTTACATGAAGAATACTCATGTTTCCCCTAATTCTAACCTCTCCTGGCTCCATTTCTAAATGGCTTATTCAGTTCCAATTGCATGCAAACGTTCACAGTAGGGTTTATGGGGAATATCGGTGTGACTAAGGCATGTCGTCTGCCCTCAGGAAGTTCAGTAGGAGAGGGAGACACACAGAGAAACTTGTTGTTACTTAGGACACAATGAAATACTTCCTGTAAGTCCGTAAGTATGAAGTTATACCAGTGAGTATCTTTTTTTTTTTTTTTTTTGACAGAGTCTCTGTGGCCTCGACCAGGCTGGAGTGCAGTGGTATAATCTTGGCTTACTTCAACCTCTGCCTCCTGGGTTCAAGCGATGCTCCTGCCTCAGCCTCCTGAGTCGCTGGAATCACAGACGCCCTCCACCACACCCAGGTAATTTTTGTATTTTAGTAGAGACGGGGTTTCACCAGGACAGCCAGACTGGTCTCAAACTCCTGACCTGAAGTGATCCACCTGCCTCAGCCCCCCAAGAGTCTCGCAATTACAGGCGGGAACCACCACGCCTATCCCCCGGTGGGTATCTTGACAGGAAAAAGATGGCATTCTTAAAGCATTCCACTGAAGAGAGTTTAATTAAGGACCTTTTTGCAGAGGTATGGATGGAAATAAGAAAGCCAAACAGTTTTGATGAATTAAGTGGGAGAAGCAATAGTGGGAAACTGGTTTCATCCCTAGACCAAAGAGATTAGATGAGGAAAAGTGCTTACTCTGAATGGACTCCATCCTGCATCAGAGCCCTGGGAGCAAAGCCACCTCAGAGAGGATGAGGCTGCAGAGTAGATGCTGGTGGGCAAAAGCCACATGCCACTCACGTTATACATTAAGTGTTTCTGAAACACAACCACACTAATCTGTTGACTTATTACCTATGGCTGCTCTCAAGCTGGTAGGTAGAGTTAAGAAGATGCTACAGAGACCATATCACCTGCAAAGCCTAAAATATTTACTAACTGGCCCTTTAGAGACAACATTTGTGCATCCCTGTTATACTCGGAAGAGGGGGTGGCGTAAGAGGGACAGACAGGCACCGAATGGCTCTCTCACGGAGGAAGGCTCCATTGGACAGTGCCACCCTAACGCAGTCATGAAAAGAATAACAACAGAATGTTTAACTACCAAATAGTAAAAATACTTCATTACTTCAAGGAAGCCGTGAACGGACTTTAAAGAAAAAAGAACATATGGAATAAGCAGGAAACAAAAAAGATGCTAGAGACAAAGCCGAAGGTCAGTTTATGTATATCAAATGCAAACAGAGGAAACACCTCAGTAAAAAGTCAGATTGTCAGATTGCATTAAAAATAAAAGCCAGCGGGATGTGGTGGGTTACACCTGTAATCCCAGCACTTTGGGAGGCTGAGGCAGGCAGATGGCTTGAGCCTGGTAGTTTGAGACCAGCCTGGGTAACGTGGCAAAACTCCATCTCTATTTGAGACAAAAAAAAAAAAAAAAAAAAAAAAACCAGAAAAGAAAAAAAAGAAATAAAACCCAACTATATGCTTGAGGTGTTAGATATCTCACATTAATTATAAAGAGACGTAAAAGTTGAAAGTAAAAGCATAGAAATATATACACCGTTCGACCGCGGACTGTTGTAGCCTCTCCTTGAGGTGAACTCTGTGAGAATCCTTCACCGTTCCCCAGATGAGGAGCCTGGAGCACAGCGGGCGAGGCCGTCTGCCCGAGGTCACAGAGCTCACAGCTGCACAGCCAGGCTTCAACCCAGGGGCCAAAGGCCATACTCTTAACCCCAAACCTCAGTTGCCACCTGAGTTTTAGGAAGATGATACTGATTGCTAGGATTTGGAAGTAAGGCAAAAAGGAGAAATGAATGTCACTTCATGTCATGCAGAGGGACAGTCCCACCCAAAGATGAGGAGAAGGTACTTTGTTCACCTCACAGCTATTTGATGGAAGTCTTTGACTTAGCGAAATTGCATGTTAACTTGAAGATGTTTGCCAGTGGAGGTACAAATCGTTTCTTCTTCGTTGTATATTAACCGCATTTGACTTTCTGTATTCCTGATGCTGTGGCTACCAGGGGCGAGCCTGTCCTGCCTATGCTTGTCTGTTCTTAGAGATGGCAGATGACTCACCTACAAGCACACTTTCACAGGCAAGCTGCCCATCCTCCCAGCCACCGTCATTGGTTGGATAAGCCTTACACTCCAGGCCACCGTGCCCCTGCCCTACTTCCCATGGGGCCAGGTCAGAGTCAGGCAGGACAGTCCCTCATGCCAGGGCCTACTGATCACATCAGCCAAGTCCCACCTGCCCGGCCTGCTCTCCCCACCTCGCCTCACCCAGCCTTCCCTTGGAAGCCACAACAAAGGCTCTTGCCTTGCCTAGCTCCCTCTGTGTCCCAACCCATGCAGTGCTTCCTGTGTGGCCCTGAGTGGCGTGGTGTGACGTGGCGTGGCATAGCCCCTTCCTATGGGAGCTCCAACATACTGTCTTTTCCATGGCTATCGCCTCCTGATCTGCTGGCCTCACTGTTTCTAAACAATAACAAAACCTACATTTTAAAACAAGGAGGAAGATATACCCCAGAGAATAAGGTTTATTGTCCTTTAGGAGATCAACTGGTTTTGTATCTAACTAAACAATCTTATCTTAATATTCCTGTAGAAAATTGCCTCAATAGCTCTACATCCTAAAATATTCTTTGAGCCAGTTTGGATCTTACTCATATATCTTCTTCCATTGATTAATAAGT